TTAATTTAAGTTTGACTTAAATTCGAATTTGAATTTGAATTAAAATTGGACAGCAGGATAATGGATGATTTTCTCTTCCTTCCCTATCTAGTATTTGCACCACACACAAAGGATGGAAACCCTAGGGTGGCCGGCCACTTAAGGGATAAGGTGTAGGAGATTTTTTTGTTCCAAATTCAAATAGGAGATAGAGATTTGATTCCTTTTTAAAGTTTGACTTCTACTCTTTAAATATGAGAATGATAGAAAATTGTGAACACAATTTTTGAAACACATTTTCTGCCCTAATAGGGAGAGTGGCCAAATTTCTCAAAAAGGAAAAGGGAAGGAAAATTTTTTCTCCCAAAAAAAATTCCACATCGTGCATGCGTTGGTGTTTGTGAAAAAGTCGAGTGTTTATTCAAACCTGTTTTGTCTCACGTGTGCCCACACACACGTCTACGTGGAATCAATGAATTGACGTGGAAGACTTTGGTTTTCTAAACACAAAGATTGGAGCAAGGATTGTTCGTGGTCAAAGAACTCAAGTTATCATCCGAGTTGACCTCCAGGTATTTTTCATAATTGAGTTCTTGACATATAAATTAATGTGATTAATTTATTCGTACATAAATTAATATAATCTATAGAGTATCTCAAAAGTTTTATGAAATTTTTGTTATACACGATCCGCCTCCCCGCCACGCTTCTGCATCCGAATTCGATTCGGTTACCACCACAATCCGCCTTATCTTCACCATCAACACTGGTGTCAATTCTCATCATCAGCTCTACATCAAAACGCATGCCTTATGTCGGTCAACTCCACTGGAAAATCCTCCTGCAAGAGAAGGGAACTCTGACCGTGGCAACGACGAGAGGGGAAAAGGGAAAGCGTGGGAGACTACATCGTCGGGGGCCGAAGTCCATTGTTGGGAGCTTCGCTGGTAAAGTGGTCGGCTGCTATGGAAGCTCCACAAGCTTTGAATTAATTTAGGGTTAGGTTTGAACATGTTTAAAATTCAAAGGCTAAGACTAAAAGTCTAATTAGATCAACGGTTGAGATTTATTTTGGGCAAACAAATTTTTTTTTTTTTAATGAAAAGCAACCAGATGTGAGAGGACTTAATCTTATTTGACGATAAAGTAGGCGTGGGAAAAAAGCATTAGTTGCGACGACTTTAAAATATTTGCGGCGAGAAAATATCATCGCAAATATTTTAGGCCCCGTTCATTTCGCCGATTCGAGTTTAAAATTCGAGTTTTACTATAGTAAAAAGCTCTCAGAAACAATCACATTTAACTTTTTTGTTACAGTAAAAAGCTCTCACATAAAGTCACATCTCAACTCGAATTAAAAATTCGAATCAATGAACTGAACAGGCTCTAAAATACTCTATTAGTAGGGTAATTTAGCTCACCCTATCGTAGACTTTCCCTTAAAAAAACAATGTGACTATATCTGTCAAGGAAAAAAAATTTTTTGATTCTAAACACAGTTGGAAAACCATAAGCGCGAGCACAATGCATGCCAAACAGTATACCTTAATGACGAACTCGAGTGACAAATCAAATGTAAGACATTTAACAAAAAATTCCATTGAAACCATCATTGAAAAAGGCACACTAGGAGCCCGTTTGGTTGGAAGATTCGTTCTCTGATTCGAATCATGGTTCATGGTTCGCTACAGTATTTTCTCTCACAAAAAACACACGCAAATCGAAAATAATTTTAATCTCATGATTCTAATCCATAAACCAAACGGGCTCTAAGAGTGCATTTGTTTCTAGTTTTGAAAATGTTTTTTACGTTTTTCAAGGAGAAAAAATTGAAACCGAAAAGAAGAATGTGTTTAGGGAAGCACCCTACCAAAATAAAAAACAAAAACGTTTTTGTATTTTTCCCAAAATCTGATTTGTTTCTGAAAACGGATTAAAGTCGTTTTCATTTTTTCCGTTTTCATTTTCTCCAGCTCACCTCCATCCCTCTCACCATTCTCGGATCTCCCTCCTCGCCGTTCTCGGATCTCCCTCTTGTCGTTCTCTTCTTTCAGCTATCTCTCTCTCTCCCTCACTCTCTCACATTCTCCTCCCCTCTCTCTCTCTAACTCCCACGATTTTTGCCTCCTTTCTCCCTGAGAGACTCAAATCGAAGCTCAACCTGAGGGTTTCCACTTCACATGTCATTAGTATTCCTAAGTTTAGAAGGATTCAAGGAAATTTGAAGGTCTTTCTCAACATTTGTGGAATCTAAGGTAGGATTCACTTGCTCTGTTTCTAAATATCTCTTGTAGCCTATTTGGGTTTTTGGTTAGGGCTTCAAACTAATCTGACAATTGATTTGTGGAAGGTAAAGGTGTTGGAAGTTTTTTTTTTTGTTCACTTGTCGAAGAACCTCCGCGGCTCCTCCCAAATCAACCGAGGTATGAGTTTCAATACTGGTGATTTGGTTCACTCTTGAAGGTGGTTTAGCTTATTCTCTGGTTGATTTGGTTTTTAGCTAACTGTTTCTGTTTTGTATATTTCCAGTCGTTGTGTTTGTAAGGTATGAAAAAAAATTGAAAGAATCACATTACAAACCATTCAGGGATCTAACTAACATTAGAAAAGAAATATAACCCAAATAGTAAGAGCTGGTAGGTTCCAAGACTTGAGGCCTTGATTAAATAGTTTTATCATAATGCCTTGTTCAATTGAAAAAGAACCAAAGAGAAAGGAAAAGCTAAACAAAATTTGTTTAGGTTCGACTGCTATTACATGTTTTCAAAAATATTAAATCAAACAGGGTTTTAATTTTTTTTTATACTGAAAATAATCTCTTAATAAAATTACTAAACGCATTTTCAGAAACGATTCATGTATGAGATTAAAAACGTTTTCATTTTCATTTTCATACAGAAAATAAAATCATTTTGGAACTGATTCCAAACGCGCGCTAGGTTTTTTTCCAATAAAGTTTTACTTCTAGTGATGAAATATTCATAAATAAAAATATTTTAAAATGTGGCAATATAAGTAACGACATGTGACATGACAGAAACACGAAGACACAATTAACACGAAATTAACTCAATTTATTAAATTTTTTTATCTAAAATATATCCAAATATGGATAAATATTTTTAACAATTTTTTTTAATTTGAATACTTGAAAATTTTATAATTTGTGACCTATATTAATAATGTATAATACAATTAAATGGACTAAGTAAATAAATCAGTACTCAAATTGTTTAAATTAATCATAACTAAACAAATCTAAGTGACATTTCACTAAATTAGTGACATAGATCAACTCAAACGACACGAAAATTCAAGTCGACGCGGACACAAAAATTTGTTTAGTTGTCATTGATAGTGTAGTGTCTGGGGTAATTTCAAAATTTTACTTTGTAATTTTTAGTTAAAGACAAAAAAAAAAAAAAAAAACACCATCTTCTCCTGAAATCTACTGCCGCATACATCAAATTGACATCTTGGTTTTACATTGGAGTAAAAAAGATGACAAAGAGACTTTTTAATACTGTATCTAAATATCATCTCGCTATTGAAATGACCCAATAAAGAAATTTGAAACCCAGAATCAAAGTTAAAGTCAAGCACAAAACAACCTAGATCGAACCATGTTTACTAATTATTAGGGACGCTTATTTATCGGTCATGGGCAATCGACCAAAGGAATAACATTGAAAGCAATAGTTAAGATCTGAAGAATGAAATTGTAGTTTCCAAAAAACAAAAAAAATAAACAAATAAATAACGAGGATTCTCTTAACGTGAAGCATTGTATTATTACCTTGTCTTTCTTCTATGAGAAACTGTTTCCCGTCCAATTACAGTACGAATCTTATAACACATTACTTTACATTTATAACTGAACGTCTTCATATATGTTAATAATTTCAAGATTAAACCAGAGATTGAATTAAATTAAATCAAATCATGGCAAATTATTTACTATAGCAGAATAACTTGATATCTCATAGTTGCACACCAGGTAGACCAGTCCATAAAAGAATCCTCCGTGGTCGATCTAGAAACCTGGCTTGCCATGCAGGTTCATCACTTTCATAGACAAAACCACTCTTTAGGTACAACTTTTTAGCTGGTTCATTGTCAACGGCTACATGTACGTATAGATCAGATATACCTGTAACACATTTCACAACCCAGTTGAAATAACGCACAAGCTTATGCCCATCTCCTTTTATTTTCAGAGAATTCATGCGAAGAAATGTACGGGGCAAGACGGCAAGTGTCACCTATTTTAACAAGAACTATAGGGTACCAGTGGAGCACCACATAGCACCCACTCCCACTAATAGGAAGTGGGTCCCGGAGAATGGGGTGGACAAGTGATGCACATCTTCTATTAACGGTGGCGCTTAACACTAGTGATGCTCCCAAGCATTTTTTATCTCAACAATTAAGGCCCCGTTAATTTTACCGATTTGAGTTTTGCTACAATCTAAAGCCCTTAGAAACAATCACATTTAACTTTTTGCTATAGTAAAAAGCTCACATAAAATCACATCTTAACTCGAATCAGTGAACTAAATTAGCCCTAAAATTCGCATAGAAGAAATGAAGTGTATCAGAGAGCAAGAAAAACAGAGTTGTCAATTCAACCAAGATCTCATCCTAACAAAAATAGATGACAAAGCATATAGCGATAAAATAAAGAATTAAATATATACATATATATACATATATCATAAATGAGAACCACGGATGTATCAAGGTTTCATGAGAATATGATGATGTGCCTGTTTGAAGAAGAAGATAAACCAAATGCTGCTTTTAGATGTTTTCTGGGGAAGAAGAAGAAAATGGGGAAAAGAAAAACAATGAAATTCATGGTCAACATATGTGAAGTAGAGGAACATCAGAATCCTTATTCCTTACCCCATTCTTGAGCAACTAACTTTGACTTTGCAATAACTGCATAACCTAACCCATGTCTATGCAATTCTGCCGCCACACACACATTGCTCAGATACGCTCTTGCAAAATCAGCTCCAATACCCTGTTGAAACAAGGACCTTAGACATTCTACCGTTTTTCGTTTACATTTTGTATCATTTTAAGTAGCAAGAAATAACAAGGCATAAAGGAAACAAACATATACTACAGAATAGTTAAGTTGAAAATTGTTTGCTAGGACAAGTGAAACAATCATTGGATATAAAGCCTACACATCTCATGTAAAGTCATTTCTACCCTTCGTTAGATTCAACAGTAAAGCGGCAATTAAATTATGGTGTTATCTGTGAATATTCGTCTATATACATCAGATTTTCTCAAATAACAGATGTATATCCCACATTTAATTCAAAATCTACATAAAGACTGAAAAGGGACCAGACTCCATCAATTGTGTTTGACAAATTGAAAACCCAAGATAAGTATTCGACATGCAGATAGCAGCATGATTTTGTATAGGATAAAAAGAGGACAAAGATTTAGAAATGATAAGTCCCACTTGAGAACCATCCCGTTGACATAATATTCACATTATCACCTTATAAAACACTAGAGCAGTCGATGGTGCAGTCGATAATAAACCAGACCTATGAAATGTACATTCAACAATAAGCAACAAAGTTATGCAACTTATCTCCAAATAATTTCAGGTAGAATTTAATATCCTTAGCTACAATGACTTCTCTTAACTATGCGCTTCTATTTCTGTTAGCCATATTAATTTCTCGAAAATATCTTTAAGCAGCAAAAGCATATTAACACATCCAAAATTCGTAATTTATGAATTAACATTTGATCAAATACCTGTGGTTTCTTTCCAACTATCTCATCTGGAAGCCTTATGCATTGGTTAAGATCAAGGGTCCCAACTACCACTCGATCTTCTCCATTGGAAGAAAACTGCAACATATACATAAAACAGTTGGTTGACGCACTCAATGTAACAGCAAACAAAACAATTGTCCATGTTTCCGTTTGCCTAGAATGGTAACTTATTTTGACTAAGATAAGAAACTAAGCTGATTAAGCAACTGGTCATTCGTTATGATAGTATAAATATCATCTAACAAACAATGAATATAAACTAAAAGAAATCTGAGTCCCTAATAAATAAATCCAAGCCTAATAAGCAATCTGCAAATATGCTTACATCAAAGGCATAAGCTAGATTTGCACACGGATTTATAAAGAAGTAAAACCTCAGTTTTTATCAAAAAAACGTCTCTCTTTTTCATACCATAAATAGGTTGAAGGACAATTTTGGATGACAGAGAACATGCATATAAAACAAGGAGAAGCATTCATGATGCTCCGTGTGTAACTCCTTTAGAAATGGAATGCTAACATTGAGGGAAATAGAAAAAAGGTAGTCGCCTAGTCGGTAGAAGCTCCAAGTTTATGGAAAGATATAAAGCCAAATAGTGAAACAATTAAAAAATTAATGCATAGCAGGTTGAGCATCAAAGGCCTCGAAGTGGGAAGTTAGATAAAAGACTACTATCCAATCCTAATTCCTCTCAAATCCAGCAAATCAATTACTTCACAAAGTGTATACCACCCATCTCACTCACATCTGTAAGCAAAAGATCTTGGTATGTGTTTTCCATTTCTACTTTCCTGAATTGATAGGAGATTAGGATATAAAAACACTTAAAGAAGATCCTTAAAGGATTGAGAGCCATTAATTCTTATTAATCATATATTGATTACGACGTATAGTAAAATCATAGCGATTGTGCATACATTCAACCATGAACGTGCTGTCCTGCCAAACACTATCTTAACCAAAGCCACATGAACCTTTTTCAACTCATTCCATTCGTAATAACATTTTTCAGGATGAGGCATTAATTGGCAATTAAACACATATGAAGCAAGGATAAGTAACATATCGAAACAAAATCTCTACTTCCATATAAAAGGGGCACAACTAACCAAACAAGTAATAACCCAAAAATCGAATGTCTTTTTTGTCTCATCAAAGAAAAAAGGCAACAAACCTTACATGAAGCACATAAATCATCTGAAAGTTTTGATATCTGCGACAACGGAACAGTAGCATTTATGCAAGAAACTCTTCTAAACTCTTCCCTCCTCCCAGCAATCCGCTCTTTTAGTGCTTCAAACTCGCGCTCTGTCAAGTACTTTTTGTGATCCTAATGACACTTGACAAGTAAAAAGTACCATCAGTACAAATAATTTTCCCCAAATGTTAAAAAACTAAGCAACACACATGATAAAGTATTGATTAAGATTGTAGTGATCTTTTTTTTTTTTCCTCTCTTTTCAAAGGGTAATATGCATGTAGCTTTTCTGTGGAGTCCCGTGATTTTAGCCTATATAATTATGGTTATCAATTGAAAACAAAATTAATTATCCATACCATAGAATTGATCTTGCCAACAATATATTATAATGCTTTCAAATTGAATAATTGATAGAATTACAAATAATAATAACTTTTCCTTTATCTTTTCATTCGGGAACGAAAGAAAGACAGAGAGAGAAATCAGTGAATCGAAAAAAGTTGATCGGTTGTCCCTCATTTTCTCAGGAAACAAACAAACAGTCAGGCAAGAAAGAGACTAACTTCGATGCGATAACTGCTAGGGTTGAATTCGTAGAAGGAGCGAACGCGGAGAGAAGCGGCTGCCCAGAGCTGGTCCTCGGAGAAGGCCTCGGCGACGGAGACGGCGGAGCGGTCGATGGCGGACGAAGGAGGAATCGTCTGGTTATCGGTACAGAGCGACGAGGCGGCGATTGGCCGGCACCGGAGGCGGCGAGAGGCGGCCATGGAAGTGTGGAGAGGAGAGGAGGAGGAGGAGGAAAGCCTGCAATTCCATCGGTCTGAGGATGGAAAGGGATGAGAGGAACATGGAGATGAAGAAGAAACAAGCGCCATTTTTGTTGTTTTTTTTTTTTTCGTTTTTGGTTGTGATTAATTATTTATCCATTTTATCTTCTTAGAAGTCTGAGCGGCTATGCCAGCTTGGTCGTATTCTGATTATCCGATCCTTCTCCCTCCTATGTTCTTTTTTCTTTTTTCTTTTTTCTTTTTGTTTTTCCCTTTTCCTTTTAAGGGATAAATTTTCTTTTTCTATTTTCAGGGAAATAAAAAAGAAAAATTCAGGTCCTCTCATATGGGTATTTTCATAAGCCTTTCCCATTATTGGTGGGTTGATCGGCTTGTGACTTGAGCCGACAATTTGCTCGCACAATCGAGGAGAACAAGGCGCCCTATGTTCTTGTTCGGATCACCTCCGGGTGTCGTTTCACGCCTCAACAACCCAACATAAACCTTACATGGTCGAACGCCCTAGGGCACCCAAATTTAATATATCGTGTGGGCTCCCACTAAAATTGAGATCATCTCCACCTATGAATAAATGTGGTATAAGAACCATTGATGTTTGACACGTCACACGGCCTGATATGTCCACACAGCCGTACATGTGAATCCTATCCGTATTCAATAGCAAACTATAAATACCCTTGTGACTATTTATTGAGGTAAGCACAATTTCTTAACCCAATTTCTATCACTCCATGTATTGCTCCCTATCAGCGGGACTAATTTGAGCGTAGGAGTCCTTTTGGCAAACACCATACCGGTATCCCCTCAATCCAACGCTTTCTCCTATTTCCTGTGGGAACCCAAATTGAGATTGAAACTTGACCCAGATAGGGGCGGAGAACACAGTTCAAATACCGCGCACGTCGGTGTTGAGTCGGGTTAGACATCAACTCCAGTGTTTTTTTTTCCCTTCCGAAATAAGAATAATAAACAATTAAACTAATGCTCCTTCATCAGCTTAATGAATTTGCCTATTAACTATTTTTTTTTTTTTTTAAAAAGACTTACACCTCAATTTCTATTTTTTCACCAATACCTTTTATCATAAATATATAATTTCACCAATAGAATTTTCTGTAATACTTGAAATTCCCCTAATATCGTAACAAAAAGTTTCGTCAATTTGTTATTAAATAATAATTCTACCCTTCAAATATTGCACAATTAACAACATTTCTAACGGTAAATTTGGTTTTATACGGAAAAATAAATAATTACTTAGCAAGCGTCTTTTTTTTTTTTTTTTGAGGGGATAGCAGGTGTTTAGCAAATTAAATAAGAGATAAAATTATTTTAATACCCTGTGTTATAATAAACTGACATGATACACCAGATTCATTGAATAATTTCTTCATTTCTTATTCTAGACCTAGACTAGCATGAAGTCCAAAGTTTCAACCAAAAGTTTGCAGTAAATTCAGATATTTATTTTTATGGAATATATATATCAATATTTCGTTATAACTTTCATCTTAATTCCTGTTCCTATATTAATAGGAGTAGGACTTCTACTTTTTCCAACGTTAACAAAAAAATGTTCGCCGTAGTGAGTTTTTTCAATTATTTTATTGTTAAGTATAATTATACTTTTTTCAACTTCTGGCTATTCAACAAGTAAATAACTCTCCTATCTATCTGGTTTTGAACTATAAATAATGACTTTTCTTTAAAATTTAGCTATTTGATTGACCCGCTTATTTCTATTATGTTAATATTAATTACTACTGTTGAAATTTTAATTCTTATTTATAGTGATTATATGTCTAATGACAAGGGATATTTGAGATTTTTTTGCTTATACGAGCTTTTTCAATACTTCAATGGCAGTATTGGTTACTAGTTCTAATCTCATTCAAATTTATTTTTTTCTCAGAATTAGTTGGAATGTGTTCTTATCTATTATGCTTGTCAAAAGGCGTCCTGTCACTAATCGCGTTGGAGAGTTTAGTTTATTATTATGAATTTTAGGTTTTTATTGGATGACAGGCAACCTAGAAATAATCAATGCAGGAAAAGAGCTGCGATTCTTCAAGTAGGGGCGCAAAAGTGTAGGATAATATTCAGATCTTATTTCATGAACAATGAAAGAAAGCAAGGTACAAACATGGGGTACCGTCATAAGGAAAATAGTTCCCAATATCAACTTTCCATTATCCAGCAATCTAAACCAAAGTTAAGGCTCATCTTTCTCTTCTAATGGCACCTTTTTACAAGTTTTCATCCACTACATTATGATTATCCTTTTCAATACTCACCAACGAACAAGAGAGCAAAAATGCCTCCATGAATACATAGAACAAATACTAATGAGATGAGGAGCAGCCATTATCTACGGTCTTCAGCCATCTTTTTGCGGATTTCATGGGCTGTATTAAAAATTCCAAGGGTAGGCGTGTTGCAGACGAAGCACTTCTTGTTCTTTGAATGATGCTGCCAGTTAAAACCAAAGAAGATTAGATAACACAACATAAATAAGGCATACAAAAATCACAAGTAGCCTTTGTATAGACGGGCTACCTTTAACGCACAATGCTCGCAGAAGTAGTGCTTGCATTTTGTCACAACAGGATCCACAAACGGCTGGCGACAAATGAAACACGCAAAGGGCAATGCATCGTCATCGTCATCATCATCATTCTGGTCTGCACCACCCTCATCCGAATCAGCTCCTCCTAAAGCTAAATTTCTCTTTCTAACTTTCTCTGCCTCTTCCCATTCCTTCTCCAACTGCCACCCAGACTTGTAATCCCCTCGATCGTGCATAAACTTGCAGGAATCTCCATATCCACAATAACCAGTTTCTTTGTAATCCTTGCATATGTCTGGCTGATAATCAAATCTTGTTGTAGCTCTAATGTGAGCAGAAGCCCTGAGAGGGCCATGAGACCCTCCAGCTTTCTCACTGGCAACCGTTTGCTCTCTTCGGAATCCAGCCTTATAATCAGTGTATCCATGGATCCCCGTGTACAATTTTTCATCACCTGTGTTCTTGCCTTTTCCCTTCAATGCCGCATCTGCATTCTTGAGAACTCTCTCACGAATTGCTCGCGCGTCTTTAGAGAATTCTGTCTCAGTTTCTAGAGTCGCCGTTGCTCTACTATCATGTTGGACCTGGATTTCCTTGGAAGATTCAAACTGAAAGACAGGAGTCTCGGATGCGGCATTTGATTCGGCGGATGCAGAGTTCTTAGAAGGCCCAGTAGAAAAATAAAGTTTATTATCGGGCTTTGGGGCTTTTTTCTGGCTGTGCAAGACTGTGCTCTCGGTTTTTGATTCTTCATCATCATCTTCCGTAACTGTTCGTTTCCTAATGTTTTTATTCTTTGAAGGCTTCCGGAAGAAGTTGCATACTGAAAATTAAGAAGACAAATAAATACTGGAGTAACAGAGAAATGCAACAAATACGGCGTATAAGTATAACAGAAACATAAGGCAATACAATAAAAACACAAAATATGAAGGAAAAAGCAGTGGATACCTTGTTCAGTCTGCGGCTTTTCATCAGAATCTGCCATAGAGACAGAATAATAAAACAAAAGTTTCCCAATTTGGATAAGTTAATTTCAATGGACTTGGAACCTTGATTTGTTTGCCTGAAACTATTGCTTCGAATCTGGAAACAGCAGAAATAATAAGAATCCGGAATTGAGTAACAGAAAATAAGTCCTACAATACAGATATGATCTAATGCAAATCGCAAGAAACTTTCTACGCCAATTTCATACTCTCGTGTTCTTCTATCAGATGACATCCAATTTCTATTCATTCTATTCGATTAAAACAACCAAAAACTAATGCCAATTAATTCATATATCAAAAAGGAAACAAAAAGGACAAACATAACTAGGCGTAAATGTTAATCCACAAGAAAAATACTTGATGGCATTAGAATGAGCGTGGATGAGGCTAAATAGTGCAAATGAAGCTTTCTAGAAACTGCAGCAAGAAGCAATTTCAGAATTTGTGAGATATTAATAGAATCATATAGTTACTAGTTAGTAGTTAGTTGACTATATAGTTCTTGCAGAATGTGTTTAACTTCTTGTCTTAATGTTGTTGATGATGTATGATGCACTTTACTGTTTGAGCAATATTACCCTTTTGAAAAGAAAACATGAGTTTTTACTTTTAAGATTTTATTCTACTTATCACCGGCAAGAAGTTCTTTATAGCTCTTTTTCTTTTTGGCTCGGTCTAATCTACATGCGTTAACGTAAGTAGCCAGAAAAAAAGACCAGGTTTAACAAAGTGAAACCATTTAAAAGAGACTGTCCATAAGCTGAGATTTCGTAACGGCAATTGGATTATCTTCATTTTATCTATATTCCACGTCTTAGGCTTTGCCCTTTCTTGGTTTTGTCTTCTTTGTGTTGATCAGATAGACTAACATTGTCATACAAATTATGTTTTATGAGACAATTTTCTAACTAATTCTTATTAATTATTTTATTCTGCAAAACCTATTTAAGGTCAGTGCAATGTCTAAAAATTCTAAGGAGACACTGATGGATGAAATTTTTCTTTTTGGTTCTTGCTTCTTAGGTAAAACAATATGATTTTCCTTTTTTTCTTTTCTTCACATGAATTTGGAGATTGTATGTAAAATATAGGCCATGTGAACTGATCCAATTAATCATAATTGATTCATTAACATGTTGTTTAACCTTATCCTGAACCCCGAAATGTGTGTTTATTGAAGAGATCATTCATTAAACAAACGTCGAAGCCAAAACTATGCCCAAAATCAATACACACCCCAGCTCTAAGGTTTTTTTTTTTTTTTTTTTTTTTTTTACACTCAAGTATCTATTAAAAAATAATTAATTCTACCCTATGTCAAAATTTACTTTAAAAAAAAAAAGAAAAAGAACAATCCAATGAAACATCTAACATATAATAGCTTCTGACAATTAGCAATCAAACAATAAGAACAAAAAAAAAGTTTATAATAAAAAAAAAATCAAACTTTCAGAATAATGGCAGAAACAAAACACAAGAAATCTTAACAAAGAAAGAAAACTTGAACTAAGAAAGTAAAGATTAAATTGAGAAAAAGAGCAAAACGCGTAATCCATAGCTGAGAGGTACCTAGTTCTGGGTAAAGAGCGATGGGCGACGACATTAGGGCAAGTTTCAAAGAAAATCCCCAAATTCAGAACGAATTACTCTCGTTTGATTTTCTCCTTGGAAGGCTAGATTTAGATTTTTTTATTTCTTTTTCAAAATTCAGAATAAATTTTTGGGATACAACCCCGTGCTTTTTTCTTTTTATTTATTTCGAAGATTTTCGAAAAATCAATTTTTTTGAAGTCGGTGACGAGTGGCAATTCGTGTTGGCAGGTCGTATTCGTGTCGTGTTGACCCCTTCAGTTGACACGGTTAGGCCTGACACGAACACGACCCGTTTATTATTCGTGTCGAAATACAAAACCCAAACATGACCTATATATTAGCGGGTTGACACAACACAACACGACTAACCGTTTATTAAACAGGTCGTAAACATGTCGTGTCAACCCGTTGATTACCTGCCAACCAGTTTAAAAAATGGGTGATAAATGGGTCGTGTTAACGTATTTTTGAACCTATTTATAAAATGGGTGATAAATGGGTCATGTTAACTTATTTCTGAACCTACTTTTGAACATGTTTTTAAAATGGGTGGTAAAATATGTTTCTCAACCTGTTTGTACGTAAAGATTTGTTTCTCAACCTATTTAACATGTTGAAGAGACATTAAATAATCTAAGTTCAAAATTAAAACAAACACATAAAACTCTCTCACAAATTAAAAAGCAAACATACATGATTAATAATTAAACAGTTAAATAATTTGCTGCAGTGGGGGGGAGTCACATCATCAAGTATAGCAGAAGTTGATCCCTATGAGAAAGGTTCTTCAACTTTCAATGAAAAGTTGAAGATACCTTCATGGTTTTAAAAAGCGCCAGAGGCGCACACCTTAAGGCGTGACTCGTGGCGAGGCGCTGTAAAAGCGCCTCAACTCCTACGCCTTACAGGGTAGGTGTTGAGGCGTGCGCCTCAGCCACTTGAGGCACACGCCTTTGAGCGGTGCCTCAGGCGGTTAGTGAGGCGTCCGCCTCTCTGTAAAGGGTCTTCTGGTGGGTTATTTTAACATGCTAGCCCAAAAGGTTTAAAAAGCCCAAAATTCCTAGGCCCTTAATGACTAAGAAAAAACTCTAATAACAAAAAGAAGCAGCCATCCACTTGCACAGTCATCTCTCTTCCTCCCTCGCACGGGCAAACACTCTCCTTCACGTGTTTCTTTGCTGGCTGCTGCATCAACCAGAGGTAGACCAGCCACTTGCACAGCCGTCTCTCCTCATCCTCCTCCTTCTTCTTCTTCTTCCTCGCACGGGCAAACAGTCTCCTTCCCGTGTTCCTCAATTGGCTGCTACATCAACCAAAAGCAAACCGGCCACTTGCCGACTCTTCAAGTGAGGTATCTCTCTTCTCTTGACTTGACGTCCATTTTTTGTAAAATGCACCGTGAATAATAGGATTTGAGTATTGATACGAACTGATTGTGTTTAAGTTAGGATGAGAGTATGAGACCTCCACAAAATGCACCGTGACTTGACATCAATTTTTTTGTTCAAGTTAGGATGAGACCTCCACAAAAATGCTAGCAGTAGTTATAGTGGGAGACGGGACCCGGCTTGGAAATATGAAAAAGAAATTACAACGGAAAATGAAAAAAGAACTTATGTTTACCTCCAATGTGTGTTTTGCAATCAAATTATTAAAGAAGGTGTTAAGAGAATGAAAGAGCACCTTGCTTGGACTCATAAAAATGTAAAGCCTTGTCCTAAGGTTCCTGACGATTTGAAGAAAGAAATTAATGACTATATGAACAAGTGGGCTACTAAAAAACAGTCAGCGCATCAGAATTTTGAAGAAATGGTGCATGTTGGCTCTTATTTTGGTGATAGATTTGTCGACTCTTGTCAACCACCGCAAGTGTTTAGTGATAGAGGAGTTAGAGGTCCCATGGACAGGCTTTTGAACAATGGATGACAAGGAAGCAAAGGAAAGACCTTCCCTTAGAACAACATCATGTGAGAAAGAGGCCCGTTCTCAAGTATGTCTCGACATTGGGGTTCTTTTATGAAAATACACTTGCTTTCAAAATTGCTAGAAGCCCTTCCTATTTTAATGTGTAGATCAATTGACAACTATGGTAGAAGTCTTGTACCCCCAAGTACGCATGAGCTTAGAACATGAATTTTGAAAGAGGGAGTACTTACTACTGAAAAATTTGTGGATGAGGTTAAAATGACTTGGAAGCAAACATGAGTATCTATTTTATTTGATGGCAGGTCGGATGCTAGAAATCAAGGTTTGATCAACTTTTTAGTCAACAATCCTCATGGAACTATTTTCTTGAGATCTGTTGATGCCTCTGATAAAAAGAAAGATGCAAATTTATTGTTTAAGATGCTTGACGAGATTGTTGAAGAAGTTAGGGAAGATCTTGTTGTTCAAGTTGTGACTGACAACGCAAGTCCTTATAAGGCTGCTGGAGCAAAACTAATAGAGAAAAGAAAACACTTATTTTGGATTCCTTGTGCTGCTCATTGCATTGATTTGATCCTTGAGAAACTAGGAGAATTGCCACAACATAAAAGGACTTTGGTGAAAGTGAAAAAATAAGCAATTATGTGAATAATCACCCTTGGGTGCTGTCATTGATGAGAAAGTTCACCAAAAGGGATATTGTTCGACCTGCTGCAACAAGATTTGCTACTGCTTATCTTACTTTAGAGTGCATCTATAGACTAATGCAGCCTCTACAATCTATGTTTGTATCGGAGGAATGGAACAATAGTTCATATGCAAAGAAACCGGATGGGAAAGAAATGAAAAAGATAGTCATAAAGAATAATCAATTTTGGGATGTTGTTGGGTATGTTCTTAAGTCTACACAATCCATAGTGAGGATGTTGGCCCCGTTCATTTCGCCGATTCGAGTTTAGAATTTGAGTTTTGCTACAGTAAAAAGCTCTCAAAAACAATCACATCTTACTTTTTTGCTACAGTAAAAAACTCTCACACAAAATCACATCTCAACTCGAATCAACGAAGTGAACGGGCCCGTTGAGATTAGTCGACTCTGAAAACACGCCCGCCATGGGATTTATATATGAGGCTATGGACAAGGCAAAAGAGCAAATTGCTAAAAACTTAGAAGGTGAAGAGAAATACTACAAGGAGATTTGGGAGATCATTGATGAAAAGTGGGATTTTCAGTTATATCAACATTTACATGCCGCGGCATACTACTTGAATCCAAGGATTCAATACTCCGATAATCCTTCCAACTATCCTAAGATCAAGCTTGGTTTGTAGCATTACATGAATAGAATGTTTAAGGATCCAAATGATCTAGAGAAGGCCGACCTCCAACTAGATGAATTTCGACAGAAGAAAGGGTTTTTTGGCTTTCGTCAAGCTCAAGCATCATACATGAAACGCGATCCTAGTAAAGTAGAAACTATCTTATTAATTTTGGCTAATAAAACAATTTAGATTGTTTAGCTAATTATTTTCATCTCAATTTTAAATTCAGATGATTGGTGGTCCCAATTTGGAGATGCCAGAGTTGGCTAGCTTTGCAGTTAGAGTTTTGAGTCTCACTTGTTCATATTCGGGGTGTGAACGCAATTGGAGTACCCACAATCAAGTTCATACCAAGAGAAAAAATCGCTTGCCTGCACAAAAGATAAATTCCTTGGTCTACATTATGTTCAACAAGAAGCTAAAAGATCAACATTTGAAAAAAAAAAAGGCACTTCAGCCAGATGAGGATCCTTTAATCATTGATGAGTTGCCATCTAATGATGAATGGATAGCTGGAAATGAAAATAAAGGTGAAATTCAAATGGAGGAAGCAATTGACAATCTTGACATTGATCTTTTCGAGGATGGAGAAGGTACTAGTACTAGTACTAGAGCTCGAAAAGGCTCTAAAAAGAAGAGGACATGTTAGTGGCTTGATATGCCTTATGAATTAGTTGCCTTCTCTATTATTTACTCTAATTACATATTAGAGATAGTAACTTAAGTTTAATTTTTCATTATTACGTGATAGAGGCAAGGAGACCGTGCAAGAGGATGAAGAAGAAGAGTGGATAGACTGTGATTCTGACACTGACAGTCAAGAATTCATGGACAATGAGAGATTTAAATTGGCTGATGCTTCTCTTAGTAGTGATGATGATTGATGAGTTGGGAGATTAGGTTTTTAGAAGTGCATTATTAACCTTATGATATTAGGATTTGATAATTATTTAGTCTTTTTTACACTTCTAGTAGTGAAATAGACTTCTCTTTATGTAGATGTTTGGTTAAATTTTTTATTTTTAATGATTATTAGTGTGGATTTAGTTTTTGTTAGTATTATTTTTTTTCCTAAATTTTTTATAGGCATTTTTTGAGGCTTACGCCTCAAAGCGCCTTGAGGCTTACGCCTCACCTCATAAAGGCCAAACGCCTCGAGGCCCGATTCCGCCTTTTAAAACCTTGGATATCTTGTGTGAGATTCTCCACCTCTTCATTGAAATCTACACGGAAAAAAAATATATGTACATACAAGTTTAGTTCAAAATCACGAAAGAATGAATTACAGTTTTCTTTTGCAAGAAAATGAAGCAGATTGTAATTTGTGTGTGCTCTTGTTTTAACAAAATAAGTTTCAATTTATTTGTGGACGGAAGTCGCATAAACAAACCTAAACCAATATAAGATGTCTATGAAAATGACTACCTGTGGGCTATATTTAGTCTTGTCCAAGTTTTCTATGCAACGGAATCTTGTGAAAGGGGAGAACAAGGAGCAAAGTCGATGCACGCATAGCTTAGTAAGAGCTAAGATAAAGGATAAGAACTTTTAATTGAGTGCATACACAAGGGCTATAGTTTATACTCTTGAGGTGGTTGCTCATAAATTAGTTTAGCGGTTAGAAAGAGCAATGGTTCAAGCAATTACGAATACTTCCTTCAGAATCGGGTGGAGAAGGAGATAAAGGATGGATAAGACCTTCAGCTTTAACATCGAGTAGGAGGCAGCTACGATTTCAGACAAATAATTCAAGCAATTATATGCCCTTTGCTTTCATTGATACTCGGTTCAATTCATGTTGCTTCTATATATGGTGGTGCATTGGGATGTAAAGTCCTATCGAGTGTTGCAAGTTTAAAGGTAAGAAATAGTTAGCTTTCTTGACTTCCTTGTTATTAACATCTTCATCATCCTATGCCAGATTTCATTTAATGAGCTAGTTCCAAGAGGGTGTTTTGTGAGGAGCTTCTATAAACCAATATAGGTGCCTAATCGGAGATTTTCCTTCGAAGGCTAGCACACTAAAGCTCACTTGCAGAAGCCCTTTCTTACGAGATATATAACTATATCCAATCAATTTTAGCACCAACAATAACTTCAAATAAGTCAACAATCTTATTTAGAACAATGTGAGCCTTGAACAGTGGAAGGAAAAAAAAAAGAGTGAACCGAACCCCTACATTAACGAACTTGACAAAATTTTAACAAAACTTGGCATGTCCTTGCAAAAAGTGTGCGTCAATTGGACATAATAAACTTTTATTTATAAATTTAAAAAAAAATGATGAATAAAAACACATTTATATCATATGAAGGGAATTATAATGGTAAAATCAGTAAATCATAAGCAAACCATATTCAGTTCAAAAAATTGTACTCACTCTTTATCACTTGTTCATCCATAATGACACATAGTAGAGACGAGTTATATTCTTGATGAATTCTCTGTTATAGCTTTCACGCCATGTTTCTATATCAAATTACTAATTATCATGTTCATTAGTTCCAGGCTCGCATTATTTGAAAATAATGACTAGAAACCAATTTGATACTAGCATCAGACCTAAAAGAAGATAGCTTTAAGTTAACTTTCTTATTCCCATTGCAACTTCAATTTCAGTTCCAAGAAGAGTTAACGAAGAATTCAAATTCTTATACAAGATTCCAGCCAGCCTCTCAAGAAACATTAATATCAAAGTGAACCGATTAATATAAACAAAATTCCATTGGTAGAAGAACGTCAATAATAAACGTGATAAAAAAAAGGAACCGAACCGAAGATCAAATCAAAACAAACATAGCATCAATGGAGTCTAAGCACAAACATCAAAACAAACATAGATCAAATCAACAAAACAAAAACAAAAAAATGGACAGGGGAAATAGAAATACCTGTTCCCGAAGGCCGAATTTGAAGAAGAATGTGAAGAACAAGACTTCCCCAAGGCCGAATCTGACGGAGAGAGTGGAGAGTCCAGAGAGAATAGGGCGGAGAGGAAAGAAGAAGAAGAAGAAGAAGAAGAAGCGAGAAGCGGCTGTGGGTCTGTATCTTAACGGGGGTGGAGAGTGGAGAGGAAAGAAGAAGAAGAAGAAGAAGCGAGAACCGGCGGTGGACTGAGAGAAGCGACGGTGGACAGTGGAGAGCGGAGAGTCTGGATCGAAAAAAGGAGAGAAGAAAAGTTGAAACCCTTTCTGAGAGCCTGAGAGAGGGCGGAGGCAGAAATAATATATTTAATAGGTAACAAACGGGTAACAAATGAGTTGTGTATTTGTGTGACCGATATGTTTAATAAATGAATTATAGTGGGTTAATTACAGGTTGATAAGTCAACTTAAAATGATAGGTCAATATTTAATCGTATTTCATAGATTTGATTTAATTTTAATCTGAATATTTATGATAAACTTAAATTCATTACTTTCGTATAAGTTTTGAGTCGAATCGTCGTGTCGTTATCTAAATTGTTAGCCCTAAATTATGATTGAGATGATTTTTTTTATGTCTTCACAGTGAAGAGATAAATAAAACCTCAATCATATACCCTATTAAAATTTTTCATCACTATTGAGTTTTTATTAAAATATTATTAAAATAAAAATTTAAGTTTTGACCTACCTAAACACAAATTCAAATAGATTCTTAATTTAAATCATAACTCAAAATGTACACATCTAAATACAAACTCAAATTAAAGTTTAACTCAAATTATACTTAAATATACCTTTAACTCAAATTAAAGTATGAAGTCAAGTCACAATTACCTAAAAAATGCAAATGAACAAGTTGTAGATAAACTAATACGTGTAAATAAGAATATTGCTAAAGAAAATATTTATGCACGATTTAATCGGCAAGAATAGTCAACACGTGAAACCCTTGAGAAAGAAAAAGTTAAGAAAGAAAAAGTAAGAGTTAGTTCAGTTCGCTAATTTAAATTTTTAATTTTAATTAATACGTAATTTTATATTAAAGTTTTTAATTATAATAAAAAAAATTATATGTAAATTTTTATAAAAATTTTTAATTATAGTAAAATTAAAATTAAAAATGTGAATTGGTGAAATAAATAATGCCTAAATATTTATGTATTTACAAAAAAAATAAACAGGGAGAAAAATGAAAAAAAAAAAAAAAAGCTGACAAGTTAATTCAATCGTGTTAGTTTATTGCGCATTTTTATATATACAGTGAATTGTTTATTTATGGATATAAGTAATAAGTTATCCTTTTGCTTTTGCTTTATGAGAAACTGGTCTTTAATAGGCACTCTATGGTGTGATTAATTTAAAATAATAGTTATATAAATTATTTTTAAAAAATAAAAAAAAAGAACACAAAAGAAATGAATACAAAAGTGAAAAAAAAAAGTATTGAAGTAAAATACACAGAAAAGTATTTTAACTTATTTTTTTATGTTTTAAATTAGTTTTATTTTGTTTTGTTTAATTTATTTTTTATTTAATTTGTTGTGATTTCATTTTTAGTATATTTTTATTTAATTTTTATTCAAATTATTTATAGTATTTTTATCTTGTAGTATCGAAAATATAATACAAAACGGCATTACAACTTACAAATAGGACCACAAATCAGTTCAAATCAATAAATAAATATAGTAAATAATAATAATTAAGAAAATAAAATTGAGAATTATTTTGGCCTCTTGTTCAAGATTAACGCGCGCTCCGTTAATATGATTCATTTAAAATAATGATCATACAAATTGTTTTAAAAAAAGCAAGAAGAAAAAATACATCAAAGAAATAAAGACAAAAGCTGAAAAAGATCTAAAATAAAAAACAAGAGAAAAAGTTTTTAACTTATTTGTTGCGTTTTAAATTAGTTTTATTTTGTTTTCTTTAATTTACTTTTTATTTAATTTAGTAAGTATTTATTTTATTTTAGTGTATTTTTATTTAATTTTATTTTTTATTCAAATTATTTACTATATTTTTATCTAGTATCAAATATTTGGTGTAAAATGGTGTTAAAATTGATAAAATTAAATCACAAATAAGTTCAAAATAAATAAATGAACATGATAAATAATAATAGTAACAAATAAATAAAATTAAAGTTATTTGGGCTGTCCGATTGAGGTCGTGACGGCTGCAGTGGGCGCGTGAAGAGCACGTGCTGGAAAAAGCGTGTCCGTGTTAGGGCTTTTGCTTCGCTTTTCAGGTGGGACCCGCCACCAATTCACGCCAGCCAACGAACTCGTAACACGTGGTGCATGTCGGCCACTTCCTTCCACTGTTTGATTCAGTGTGGCACGCTCCATGGGAACTCTTTTTACCAGTGAATGATACCGGGACATGTGGCCAACTATTTGTAGGTGGGAATTAGAATCTGCCAAGTGGATCCTACTAAAAAATGCGCCAATTATAGACGTGTTGGTTTCTAATGTCTCGTTAATTTCACCGATTCGAGTTTAGAATTCAAGTTTTGTTACAGTAAAAGACTCTCAGAAACAGTCACATCTAACTTTTTTGCTACGATAAAAAGCACTCACATAAAATCATATCTCAACTCAAATCAACGAACTACACGGACCTTAAAACGATTTTGGGTGCGAAAGTTTATATGTGCGGATAATATATAATAAAAATTTTCATAAAATTTTTGAATACTCTATAAAATATATTAATTTACACAATAATAAATTAATCATATTAATTTTATAAAGAAATATACCTAGTTAATGATTAAGAAGATAATTGTCTCCCTCATAACTTTCCTTAGTTTCACAGTCACTACTAGGGGTGTTCGGCAGTTTTTAACCGTCGATTTTGGTCGGTTCGGTGGCCGAACCGACCACGTCGGTTTTTTAAAATCGTGCACCGAAACTGAACCGCATAAAGGAGTGGTCGGTTCGGTCAGTTT